GGCATCCTTATCACAGGTTCAACAAAATTCTCTTGTGAAACCAAGTGGAGCTCTGAAGGTAAAAGCACACATCAGAATTATTCCACCTTGGCCAGAACAAGCCAGACCTTTATATCCCTCCTGGAGCAGTTTTAGGATATGCTCCATCTTGGGAAGTGCTTGACCTTGGAGCAGCTCCTGCAGCTCAGGTCATACCTGAAGGCATTGATGACTGACAATTGGCAGCTGACTGGTCTCTGAGCAGCTGAAGCCGCAAGTCTGTCTTGGAAAGGGGCTTTAAGCAATCCACCTGCATGTCTATTTCATCTTCCTTCTTAAATGTTTCTTTGGCTGGGATTGCAGCCCCCGGATGACAGTTACTTTCTCTCAGTGATTGCTTTTCCTTCATTTGTTGATATCAAGATGTCTGCTTTAGAGTTTTCAATATCCCTTTACAGGTAATGTGATTACTTTGTGCTATTGTATTTGTTTTCATTATTCTGTAGCTTTACTATGATGTGTCCAGTTGTGCTTCCTGATTTTAGTGAATTGTTTCTCTCATCAATTTTGGAGCATTACTACCCAGTATTTTCCACAAATTGTCCAATCATCCCCTTTTACAATGTCTATGAGATATACTTTGTACCTTTTTATTTCATCCCTTAGGTCTCTTCACCTGTCTTTAACACTTTCTTTCTCTTTCATGGCCTCGGAGGAATTGTGGTAACCACGTTTCTCTCTGTGTAAAGTTGACATTTCAGAATCGGCCCTATGTGCATATTCCAGACACACCTTGATCTGGCCAACCACAATATGCCTGAGTCACCTTACCTTGCCCTTCTGCCTCCCTAGTCTCCACCTCCTCTCTTCAGGAGAAGCCCCCTTCCCTGGGAGCTCCCTTTACAAATACACACTACTCGATCGAGTGTGCATATCCCTAACTACCTGCTTATACAGCTCTCACACCTCATGCCACTCTCTACCCTCCCTAATCTCCCCAGCGCCAGATGTCACACAACTATGGGCTTCCCCTATGTCCCATATCTCGCTGAAATTATTCACAACACCCAGTTCTCCACCTGTATGCTCTGCCTCAGCCATTCCTACCCTCAGAAAACACAGTAAAGGTTTTGCTCACAGCTGCCATTTTCACTCTGCTTGATGACCCACTCTGGTTCTTCCCCATGTGGCCTCCTGTGGTGTGTTGTGCCCCTTATCTTTGGAATTGTGAGTAATAACATGTCTATTCAGGCTGGGCATGGTGGCTCACACATGTAATCCCAGCACTTTGGCAGGCTGAGGTAGGAGGATCACTTGAGGCCAAGAGTTTAAGACCAACCTGAGCCACATAGAGAGACCCCATCTCTACTAAATAAATAAATACATAAAATCAGCTGGGCATAGTGGTGAGCACCTGCAGTCCCAGCCACTCTGGAAGCTGAGGCAGGAGGATTGTTTGAGCCTAGGAGTTTGAGGTTTTAGTGAGCTATGGTTACACCACTTCACTGCAGCCTGGGAGACAGAGTAAGACCCTGTGTCAAAAAATAAAAAATAAACAATAAATAAATTATCAATTCAATGTAAATTATCTCTTGATGTATTGTCGTTACTATATACACATTAAATTTTCTTTCGATATACTATAATTTAAAACAAGCATTCCATCTATCTTCTGTCATCTATCACTAATTCTCAACTCAACTATACCTATATTTGAAATAATTATAATGGTCTTTTGATCTAGTTGTTACATTTCTCCTGCTTAGAAATTTTTTGGCCTCTTTTAGATGAATGGTTGTTTCTTCCTGATGTTTTATATACCATGTCATTTATTTAAACATAACAAACATATTTTATAACAATTTGCATTTGATAGTGTCTTTGGAGGCTTACATTTCTTATTGTTCATTTTTGCTGATGGTGGCTTATTTTTGGATCATGTGCATATTGATGAGAACTTTATGAGAATCTTGTTAAAGCCTCAACTAAAAATATACCCCTTCAGAAAGGATTTAATTTGGATTTGTGACATGTCCATGCTTGCTACACAAAATTAATGGCACCATGGGGATACTGATTTTTTTGTTGTTGTTGTTTTTTCTTTTTGAGACAGAGTCTCACTCTGTTGCCTGGGATAGAGTGCCATGGCATCAGCCTAGCTCACAGCAACCTCAAACTCCTGGGCTCAAGTAATCCTTCTGCCTCAGCCTCCTGAGTAGCTGGGGCTACAGGCATGCGCCACCATGCTCGGTTAATTTTTGTTCTATATATTTTTAGTTGGTCAATTAATTTATTTCTATTTTTTAGTAAAGATGGGGTCTTGCTCTTGATCAGGCTGGTTTCAAACTCCTGGTCTTGAGCGATCCACCCACCTCGGCCTCCCAGAGTGCTAGGATTACAGGCATGAGCCACCGCATCCAGCCGATACTGTTAATATGAACACCATAGCTACCTGAGGGCAGGACTTTGATTACAAGTCCTCAAGGAGACTTTTTTCACCATCCAGAGCACAGTCCAAAGGATATTAATTTCCTTGTCATCTCCTTTCACAGTAGGATAATCTCCAACTTTTCATACTGAAACGTTTACATCAAACTTCTTTCAACCTGACCAATATAAAGGAGTTCATAGGAATACATAGTCAAGAACTTTAACACAATACAGAAATAGCTAAACCACAATTCTCAAAAAGTTATATAGTTTAACAGATACCACAGAAATAAAAGAAGACCACAAGAAACTACTATGAAAAATTACGGGCTAACAAACTGGGTTCTCTAGAAGTAATAAACAAATGCCAAAGTCTTTCTTGCATATTGGCCTCAAATAAATTGTATTATGCAAGAAATCATGTTAAGAAATTAAATATATTAGAATTTTTTGGCTGAGGCCTGGATGTTTTACTTCTGTAAAAGCAGAAATCAAATGGGAGCATTGACAAAATAACTTTAAATTACATCATAATAGGACTGTGTAGTAAATCCTGGTACCTCAAGGATGACTGACACACATGAAATCTACAAAAGACAGCGAATAAAAGGGGTTTTGATGTTGAAGACCTGAAGGGGAATCCAGGACATGAAATACTTTAATTCAGTAGGAGAAAGAGGAAAAAGGGCATCAGTGATGCAATCATGATGTAATAGTGTGGTTTGCTGAAAAGTTAAATAAAGGGAAAAGGATTTACTGTTTATATAAAAACATGCAAGCATCAATCTGAGTAAAATAGTATTAACAGGACAAATCAAATGCAATAACGTTTTTTCATGACCCATCTAATGGAACACATTTAAATAAATAAGTGAAGACCCCAAACACAGTACAGATATCACTAAGTCAAAAAGTTCAAAATAAATACCAGTCCATTTTCTCCAAAAATTTAAGTTACTATTCAAACCCATTTGGACTTAAATTATTTCTGTTGTTTTCCAGGGTATCACTTCTGGTATTAAAAAATCAAGGCTTGGGACTTGCAATAATCCATCGTGGGGATGATGGGAGCATCCAGTGAGAACAGGCAGAGCTCGGCTCTCCAATGGCTCAGCCAGTGAAGGACCTGCAGTCCCTGTGCTAGAGCCATTGCCCCAAGGTGTGAGGAAGTGTTCTGGGCTGAACCAATAAGAGTCTTGCTAAGATGATTCGCTAAAGACATTGAGATAGAAGGGCTGTGATGCTTTGCCTATTGTTTATTCCTTGTTTCTTTGCCTGTGTGTTTTTTGGCATAAGGTAATGATATGATTGCTGAGCTGGGAGTGGACTTGTCTCCTACTCATGCCATCAAAAAAGAGAGCAACAAGAAATCAATCATCAGAATTAAAATGATTCCCCTACCTCCATCTCTGTTTTCTTCCTCAAGCTATTTGATTGTTAAGTAATTTTTTTTCACCTCCAAGCACTTATGCCTGATAAAATAAATCTCCCCACTTGACCGTGGGAATGTAATAAACCAGCTCTCATTGCAGCAGCCAAACGATAGGATCAAGCCTGATTCCTGACACATCCGTCACCACCCTCCTCTTCTTTGAACAATGCTGGTTACTCTTGGATTAGAGGAGAATGAAGGTGAGAAGGGGAGGAAGAAGCTTGAAAAATGGCCAATTACTCTTTCTGGTGATTAGGTGGGACCTAGAAAAAAAAGCAATTTAAGATCATAGGCAGATTTTGACAGACCCCACATCAGGACATTCCTGAAGCTGCCATTGCTACAAAATCATCATCTATTACTATTTCCCCAGGTTCTGAACCAGATCTACGTGGGCTTGTCAAAGCAGATCGTGACGATCGTGATCATCATGGGTTCGTTCCTTCTCAACCTCTTCAAGTGCATTGCCCACAAGGCCACCTGGCTGGCCCGCTACACAGGGTCCCCGACCGTCACCTCCAGAGAGATCCAGAAGGCCAAGAGCCTCGTGCTGCCCGGGAAATAGGCAAGTACGCCATGTCCGAGGTCACCAAGGGGGTCATCAGATACACTAGCTACAAGTGAGCCGCCTCAGGACCTGCTGAGAACGGCATCTCAAAGGCTCTTTTCAGAGCCACCACAGTTGTCCTGAAAGAGCTATAGCATGCCACAGGAGCATGCCTTGTACTGTTGTGGGAGGTGCCATCTTTCCGATTTGGGGGGGCATGTGGTGTTCCCTAGATTTGAGCGGTATGTAGGATGTGGTGTCCTGACGGTTTGAGGGGCAAGAAGCATGTGGCATCCTGCCAATTTCCTCAGCTCAAATGGTTAGATGCCCTTTTGTTCTGTGGGGCATCTTGGTAACTTTCCCAGAGCCAGGTAACAGGAAGCTCATTGGTCCACACAAGTAGATTGTGATTGGTGGATGCGATGCCCCCCAGCAGGACTACCCAATCACCTTGAGGGTACTGCGGTTGGTTGACAGCATCACCCCGTGACTTTTCATCCAGTCAGATGGCGCAATAGCCCGTGACGTAGGGAAGCGAGGTCCATAAAAACGGGTCCCCAACGGCCAGAAACCGCCACATTCGGTTCTCCAGAGCCCGTAACGGCTGTCTCCGCCATGGCTGAGCCTTCGTCTGAGATGTCCTCCGACGCCTGGTCCGTCACCAAGGAGCCTGAAGAGGCTGAATCGACGACGACCCAGAAGAAGCAGCAGCCAAGGCGTCGGGCCCGCCGCTCCGGCCGGGGCGCGGACAGCTTCGCCACCTACTTCCCCAGGGTCCTGAAGAACGTCCACGACGGCCTCAGCCTGTCCCAGGAGGCCGTGAGCGTGATGGACTCGTTCGTCCACGACATCTTCGAGCGCATCGCTGAGGAGGCCGGCCGGCTGGCGCGCTACACCAAGCGCGCGACCATCACGTCCAGAGAGATCCAGACGGCCGCGCGCCTCATTCTGCCCGGGGAAATCGGCAAGCACGCCGTGTCCGAGGGCACCAAGGCCTTGGCCAGATACAGTCGCCGCAAGTGAGCCGCCTCAGGATCGCCTGAGCACCGAACCCAAAGGCTCTTTTAAGAGCCACCTCACTTGTCCCGAAAGGGCTGTAGCACGCCACCAGGGGGCTCGGTGGAGTTCGGGGGCAGATGGCAGTTGGCGTCCTCCCGATGTGGGGCCGTGTGTCCAGCGCCGTCCTGCCCATGTATGACCAAATTTCCCAGGGGTGCTTCGTATGTGATATAGCAGCAGATAACGGGCTCAGACAGATAGTGACAGATAGCGAAGTCACCCATATCCTGACCTAACCGTTCTTCAACACACCCCATCTTAGAGATTTATTCGAATGTGGAAGTGAGCGTACACACAGCACAGAAAGGGCTAAACCAAATATAAAAAAATAATAATAATTCGCATTTCAAGGTCCCTAGAGGATGACGTTAATATCCTAATTGTCTCAGATTTTTCTGATTCTTTTCTTCTGTAGCCTGAAATATTCCCTCTTTTCACACATTTATTACTACACTAGACAAAAAAACATTTTTTTCCTTGGGGCCACGGTGTTTTATTAGGAAAATAAAATAAAAACATTGAAAACCAAACAATCCTTCTAATTTGATGAAAAATGTAATGAAGAAGCACATTTATTAAGCTTCTCTTTCATCTAATCCACATTGTTAGAATTCATTTGTAAGTATTAATGGTAACAATGAGAACATCAGCAAGGAAGATTTTCAGGAACCAACTGCAGGGTTTCGTTTCAGGAGCCCCCAAGGCGCAAAACTAGCATGAATTAAATACAACTCACATGGCAGTTAATGTGTTAAAACAAAAACTTAATTGACATGCAATTTTCATGCATGACTGAACTGTCCAATGAGAAGGTCCCAAGTCCCAGTTTCCAGAGACTCAGCCAATGAGACACTTGCAGCCTCTGACCAGGGCCATTTGCCCACAAGGTGGGACGGTTGCTGGGGCTAAGGTAGTAAGTGACTTCGTGTAAAATTTAACCTTGAGGTTTTCAAGAAACAGGCTGAATTCTTTCCCTGTGGCTGTTGACTTGCCTTTTTTTTTTTTTTTAAATCATGGTGATTGTTTTTTATATGAATCAAGAGCTGGGAATGGAACCTGCCTGTTGCTCCTTGCATCAAATGAAAAATAGGAATAAGGTGAGGAATTAAGAGAAGTAGGATAACCCTGTTTGCTCATGCGATCTGAATACTAATATTTATGTTAGTGTTAATATTTTTTCCTTTCCATTGAGTTTCTTTGGGGGCAACCTAGTGCTTTATGTTGATTTCTTCTTAGATACGTGTATTGTTTAATGTCAAAACATTTTCAGAATCTCCTCTTGAAAGATTTATTTCTATACTTTTATCTCTATGAAAAAGAATATACTCCATGAATGCATTCTTGAAATTTGTTACGATTCACTTTAAAGCCCAATATTTGGTAAATTTTGTTAAGTATTCCACTCTCACTTTTAAAATAAGTTGAACTAATCGTTTTATAAGGATTTAGAAACCTGTAAATAATGTCATTATCAGCCAAAAATGAGACAGACAATGGAAAATCTCAAAAGTCAAACCTTTATTGAGGCCATAGATGCATTAGAAGAACTTGCAAGGGGAGACCGAAACACAGACTGTTTCTCCTTTGTCAGAGCAGCAGGTGCTGAAGAAAAAGAATGGGGGCAGTGCAGGAGGCTAGAGAGGGCTTCCCTGAGTAGAGCAGGCAGAAATGAATCGATTCCTGATGAAGGAGGGAGAATAAAGTTCTGGTTGATTTAAAAAAAATTTTTGTTAAATGCCTAAAGACTCTGATGGGTCTTTATACCTCCAGAGCTCTCCTTGGTTCATTATAACCAAGATTTGGGACAAATGATCCCCTCATCAGTATTATTGCTATCATTGCTTTGTCATATTAGAAAAATCTTGTAAAAGCGTTTGAAGAACAAGAGCTTTGCTGTGCAAAGACATGCAGAAAATCTGTCATGAAAGCATGAGCAGGTTAATCACCCCTGGTTTGGGGAGCGGGGAGGGATGGCTCCAGATTGTTTTACACATTTGGACCAAAATGTAGTAAGCCAAAGGCATTTTCATAAGCAACAAGGCTTTTTAGAGAAAGAACTATAGACTAGGTCAAAAAAACTGCATTTCACTCAACACTTAATTTATATCATGCTCATTGTTGGTGCTTCAAAATGCTAGTGTTTGCCAGTATGATGTACTAATGTGTTTTCCAACGTTATTCTTCCATACCAATCTCATGCATATTGTGTTATGTGAGAACTCATTTTAACATATCAAATCAATTAGGACCTTTTTATTGCAGTTTGCATTTGTAAATTCGGAAAGCAAATGAGTGCACTAGGGAAATGACTTTAAAGGGGCACCATAATTGGGCGGTGCAATGAACTGTGGGAGGGCCTGACTCGCTGGCAGTGATGAGAGGAAAATGGAGTTTGATGTTGAGGAAGATAAGAGGAAAGGAGTACAGTGGAGGATACACTTGGTGGGTGAAGGAGGAGAATAGGTGTTAAGTGGCCTCTCATCATCTAATGTTATGTTATACTCACAAAACCAAATAAGAGAAATGGCTTTACTGCTGTAATAACAAATTATAGGAATCCAAGTGGGGAAACTTGTCTTAATATAGGGGACATATTCCATTGAATTTTCTCAAGCTGATCCATATTAGGGAATTCATATGAATACATACTCTTCAACATAAACACAAAACAAAAATGGCTAAATGGAAATTTTTGAGAAACAATACCTATGTTAAGATACACAGAAACTCAAATTACTGTTCTAAGGCATTGTGATTTAACCGATTCTGTTTTCTCCCAGGCCTTGTCCTTGAATTGTATAAAACGTGAATCTTCATGACCTGTGAGTATGCATCCAAAGAGAGGAGGCCAAGCTCTGCTCTCAACTGCCTCGGCCAATGAAGGACCCACAGCCCCTGAGCCACAGCCATTGGCCCACAGCCTATGGAGGTGAGCAGGGATGAGCCAATAAGAGCTTTCCTGGTAACCCTACCCTGCCCTCCTATTCCTGTGAATAGGAAATTGGTCTGTTTCTTTCTTTGTGGTTAGTTTCTTTTTGTACTGTTTTTGGTGTGTATTTGTTTTTGTTTGGAGACAGGTTATGGCATTTTCACCTGGGCTACAGTGCAGTGGCCCTATCATAGCTTACTGCAGCCTCAAACACCTGGGCTCTAGAGATCTTCTTGGCTCAGCCTCCGGAGTGGCTACGAGTCTGGGCACCAGCTACAAGGCCAGGGTTAATTTTTGTTTCTTCTTTTTTGTAGAGAGGGTGTATCTCTATGTTGCCCAGGCTTGTATCTTGTATTTTTTTATTGAATAAATTTATGGTTTACAACATGACGTTTTGGATACACATTTGGTACCAGAATAATTACTACCTGTGAGCAATGTAACATATCCACCACCATACACACTTACTTCTGTGTGTGCATGCTTGTGTGTGTGTGTGTGTGATAACAGTACCTAAAATCTATTGTGTTACAAATTTTTAATGTACAACACAATATTTTTATGGTTCTCCTACTGTACATTCCATATCTATAGATATTTATCCAACATAATTGCATGTTTTATACTTCTTAACATACATCTCCCCATTTTCTTCCCCATCCTCATGCCTGGGAACCACCATTCTATTCAGTGTATTTGACCTTTCTTTTTTAAAGTTCACAGATTAGGAAGATCATGCAGTATTTTTCTTTCTGTGAGTGGCTTATTTCATTTAGCACAATGTCTTTTATTTCCACAATGTTGTCGTAAGTTGGAGTATCTCCTTTTCTAAAGCTGTATAATATTATAGTGTGTTTGTATATCTATATTTATAGGTATATATAGATATAAGCATCACATTTCTTCATCAATTCATCTGTCTATGGACACTGAGGTTAGTATTAGTAATAATGTAACAATGAACATGGGAGTGCACACATCACTTTAATGTACTAATTTCATTTCCTTCAGTATATATCCAGAAGTGGGATCACTGGTCATATGATAGTTGTATATTTAATTTTTGAGTAACCTCCATTCTCTTTTCCATAATGTGTGTACTAATTTATATTCCCATCGATAGTGAACAAAGGTTCCCTTTTCTCCATTATTCAAAACAATAATGGAATCCTCTTCATTTTTCCTTCAAAACCCTTTGTCTACCTTTATCTCCCTCCATAGGCACATAGTTTCTTGGTGCATGTCTTCCCATTACAACACCTGGTTCCCAAATAAATCTTATTTTCTTTTAGAGCCTGTCTCTATTTTTCATTTAGCTTGACAATATTATTGTATTGGATGTTAAGTTTCAACATGAGTTTTTCAGGGAACAAATATTGAAACCGTAGCAACCACCTTTTCATATATGTATTGGTCATTTGTATGCTTTTGGAAAAATAAGTATTTATGTCCTCCATGTTTTCATCATGATATTTATTTTCTGGCTATTTGGTTGTGTAGGCTTCTTACCTATTTTGGATTTAATGCTTTATCAGACATATGGTTTGTTAATATTCACTTCGAAAAGAAGGTCTTTCCATTTGGTTTCCTTTGCCACACAGACTTTTTCCTGTTTTATGTCAGCCCACTTGTTTACTTGTGTTTTTGTTGCCTGTGCTTTTGGTGTGATTTCCAAAGTGTCATCCACAATCCTGTTTATCTTTAAAATTGTTTCTTTCTCTTTAATTGTGCTGACATAAGGATATGTATCTAGAGCTATTAATGGACTTATTGCTTGCCTGTTACCTCATATTCAGAAAAATGTAGTGATCTCTTATAAGAGATAAGCTAACTCCCTTCCTCCCCTGTCTTTTCCTTCAGGCTATTTGAACGTTGAGATATTTTATTTATTTCACTGACAAGTAAAAGTGCCTGACAGAGAAAACTCAGCATAGCACCTTGGCAGAGTGATAACCCGGTTCCCAATGCAGGAGCTAATACAATGGGATTGGTCCTCATTCCTCAACCCTTACTGCCCTCCTTCTCTTTGATCATGGCCCCATACCCCTGGATAAGAAGAGAATGACTCTATGTGTAGTTTGGGTGGAAGGAGCTTATAAAGTAACCATTTACACTTTCTTTCTTTAGGAGGAACAT